GATTAATCCTGAGATGTGTATAATTTAATATGCTCCCAAATTTGACATCAGTGAAAACAAAGAATACCTTTTTCTCTAGGCATCTTGTACGAATCATTACTAATGAATTTATGGTTTGTTTCCTACTTAGAGCATCAAAATGTCAAGGTCGCAGAGAAATTCGCTAATGCCCATTTGAATGGCTTGCACTTGATAATCATTGAAAACAGTCTTTATTTACTTGGGGATGAAATTGGTGTCGTGGTGTAGATGTGTCCCTAAAGCAAAAAAAAAGCTGGAGTCGGGAACTGAAGAAAGCTTTGAGGTGGATTTTCTGATGGACGGTCCAGATTGGGTCACTCACAGATGACCTCTGCGCTGCGTGCTTATTTGCAGCTTTAATGTGTGCTGATATTCTCAAGTTATTTTGATTCATCCTGTGTGCACCATGCTGCCATGTATGATGTTCTCTGGACACGGCAGAACTTGCTGCAAAGCGTGCCTTTATATGTTGTCTCTACTTGGCCTGTGATACACTGAAATTGCACAGTTGTAGCAGTTAAGGGCAGCCATCTGGTTGACTTGGAACTTGCTTATATTTTCCATATTATGTTTTTATTGTTATATAAGTAGCAGATTTAAAGAAACTATTGTAGCAAACTTATGGACCCCTGTGACTCTGCCCCTAGACCCTTTGGGCAGGCAGTCCTGAGTATATAGTGTGACTCTGTGGGTGCACACACTTCCTTGCCTTTCAGCCCTGCTGGGTGCTTTCTTTCCTATAGAATAAGAAAGTATTCTGTTTTTCTAACATTCAGATGCACAACCGTACAGAACTGTGTCAGGGAGAATTTTGGAGGAATTTTTCTTTCTCAGCTTGAGATGCCACATAGAGGTTACAAAGGGTGCAGGTTTTGATAACATCCATCTGTTGCAGATTAAATAAGTGGGACTCAGTCTTTGACTTCCTCGTCTAGCATCAGATTTCACATGCATAAGTACAACTGTTTTTGGACTTTGAGAATCCTAGGCACATAAAGCAGCAAAAGAGAAAGAGGTTAGTGTGACATTTGTCTGAGATTCTCCACCAAGGGGGACTAATGCCTCATTTTCTTTTTATAGTGTTTTTATTTATTTGTTAGAAGTCGATGAAGATGGTATTCAGTTTATTTTTTATTGTGCTTTTTTTAATTTATGTAACATTAGTTTACAGTGCTGTTTCAGAGGTATGGGATTTGTGTTTTTAATAGGTGAGATATCCTGGTGTTTTAAAATTCTTACTTTTTATCCAGAGGGAAACATAGGATGGTAAAAATTGCTGCCTCTCTCACCATGAGTCCCGAATCTTCTTTCGTCCCTGTATGAATTGAAGGTCACAGGGCCGGCGACTGTTTCTCTTAAGCTCCCGTGTCAAGAGTTTTAATCACGGATTGACCTCATTGTAGTGTAGGGTGTGCGTGAGGTGAGTGTGTGTGGAAGGGGAAGGAGAAATCTGTTTTTATGCAGGTGTATACTGTAACTTCAACAGGCTCAGTATGTAGACATAAGCGTTGAAGACTCATTTTAATTTTGTTTGAAACCCACATTCTGGGACCATTTAATAACACTTTTATTTAATGGGTTTTCCCACTTTGGGAAACCTAAATCCCTTAACGGGGTTCTAGAAGAATTCAGCTTGTAAGAAAGCATACTCTGACTCAACTGTCGATAGGTCCCTGGCAGGACGGCTCAGATCTTATCTTTCTACTGGGTTCAGGTCCGCCAGAACACTGGGAAAATTTTTTTTGGTAAAATTCCAGGAATTAGCTGAAAGCTTTTGATCTGCATCCACTTTTTTTTGGAAGCTTAACTCAGAAAACAGAAATGCATTTATGAAAATGGATTATTTAGCAATAAAAACCATCCTCCACAGCAAGCCCAGCCCCCTAGAGAAGGTTCTGAGAGGGTCTACTGGGTCCTCCCCAGTGATCCCCAGAGCCCCTCTCACACCAGCCTTTCTCTTCAAAGCTCTGGGGGTGTCTCTGGATGTTTCCTCATCCCTTCAGCATATGGTCCCCCCTCCTTACTCTACCTGTTCATGACCTTGTTCTTTTACAGAAACACTAGAGCAGCCTGATCTTCCTGGGTTTAATCCTATTCGGTATGTATGGAGGATAGTCAGTTAGGTCTTTAATGCAGCATGTACTTAGCCACCTCTTCCCACCTTCCTAATGAAAATATTTAGTAGCTTGTGTCAGGCCAGCTTTTAATGTTTTTTTTAGGTGCATAGATGGCTGATAGCTAGGAAGCTGGGGGTATCAGCCAAGAATTCCTCTCCAATGGAGGTACTCTGTTTAGCAGCGCCTTTGATTACAGAGTGAATGTGTGATTACCGCAAAGGAAATAAGGCCACAGCCAACAGGTTGGGCATCTATAGTAACATCTACTTCTAGAAACATCTACTTTGGTGCTTTGGAGGGGAGAGGCAGAAGGGCATTTAAAAGGACCTTTGAAGCTGGTAAAACCTGCATTAAATCTTCGCTCTGCCAGTAAATAATTGTGTGACCTTGGAAACTTTCTAGACCTCTCTCATTACCTGCTAAATGAGAATAATAGTAATATCTTCCTCACAGTATTATTGTATTAATATTTTTAAATGAAATTTATTTTCTTACATGGTTGAGCATTAATGATTGAATGCATCTGACTCCTTTTAGCTCAATTCCCAGATCACAGCAAACACTCACTAACTCTTACCTATGTTTTTTTTTTGGACAAGATTTTTTTTATGTAAGACATGCATCCAGAGTACTCTGGACAGTGCCTGCCCATCCAAGTCGCAAATACTTTCTAGGCACAATCTTTATAAGGTGATATCTAGCAGAGATTTCTTTTTAAAAGTGCCGTCTGGGGTGGGGTGAGGGAAGGTATCATCATCCTTTCTACCCGTGACCTATGATTACTTACATGTTATCATTTGATAGTAAATCGTCTTCTTGGGAGATGATGACATCACACAGTGCACAGCACTATCTTTCACTTAGTGGTGATGCGGGAACACACCTGAAGGTGGAAAGTCGCCCTGGAATTTAGAATTTGCTGCAAACAGCAAAATACTTGCATTGAATCGGCATTTTAAAATGAGTCACCAGCCAGTCACCGCAGCACTGCAGCTATTCCGCCGGCACCGTGCCAAGGGCACAGCTTTCAGGAAGCGATGAGGGGAGGCCACGCGCTGGGCGGGCAAAGGGAGAACCACGCACAGTCAATCGATCCAGGGAGCCCCTGTCAACCCTCCCCTGTTCCTCTGTGAGCGACCCGATGTGTAAACACAGCACCCCTTTGCTATTTGGGTGAAATGTGAAGTGGTTTAGTCCCTGGTTCCAGTTCTGCTGTGTGGATGATTCTAATAGGGCACAGTGAATAATTCCAAATCGGAGAATCCCTGAGAAAAACCTGTCCTTGCTGCATCAACATCTGCAGCGTGAGCAGTAGGTCTGACTGCCAAGTACGTTCTTCCAGGCAGGGAGAGAGGGAGGGAGCCCGTGTCTCCTGCGGAGAGAATCCAGGCAGGGAGCCTCACACCTGGTCTCACTTCCTCCTACGTCCATGAGGTCCCTTTTCACTCTCAGCTTTCTTTCTAGTCAGATTTTACATCACAAGAGGGATTATAATGTTATGCAAGGGCCTCGAATCCAACACCAGTTTATCATCCCCTTGTGTTAAGATTTGAAAGTCAAGCTGTTTGAGGCAGCCAGGGGGGCAGCAGGAAACCCGGGCCACTCTCCTTAGGACTTTTCCTGGAAAAAAAATCCCCCTCATTCTCCCAGGATCAGATGTGGAAAGGGGTTGGGGGGAAGGTGAGTTGGAAAGCAGACTCCATGGAGGTGAGCCTCTTGATCAAGAGATGTTGGTCTGGTGTTATACCAGCTGCCCTCAATTGAATGTTTTCCCCAAATCCCTAGAGTCACAGAATTTTCACTGGGCACAGCCCAGACTTGCCAACTAGTGCTACCCCCTTTCCTCGAAGCCCCTCATGCATGGATTGCTGCTCTTCCTTCATAATGAGGACAGGTTACTGCCTAGTGGCCCACACTAAGCTTTGTTCCTCACCCAGCTGATAACCAAACAGTAAAGGAGGCAAAAGATTTCTTCCCATTTACTGAGTCCTTTGAGCTTGACATGAGGCTCAGTATAAAGCCATTAGCATCTGCAAGAAGATGTGGTATAAAAACACAATGGAATACTATTCAGCGGTCAAAAAGATAAACTCATGCCATTCGCAGCAACATTGATGGAGCTAGAAGGAATTATACTCTCAGAAGGAAAAAGAAAAATATTGGCTGGTTTCACTTATAGGGGGAATATAGGGGAACCAAATAAGACATGGCGGGGGTGGGGGGGAATAGTAACAGTACAAAACAAAACACAAAGAAAACGAACAGACAGTTATAAACCAGAGACATCCTGCAGGGAAGGAGGAGGGAGAGGGGTCTGAGGGAGGGAGGGAGCAGCACAGGGGACTGAGGTGATGGTGCACAGGTGCATTGGTGGAACAATTCTTTGGGGACTACACCTGAAGGGAAAAAAAAGCAAACATTGTTTAAAAATGAGCAATGATATAAAATATGTGTGTGTGTGTGTATAAATATTTTTTTAAAAAATAAAGTCATTGGCCTCCAAAGCTAAAATGAATCTGGTGACAGCAGATTTGGGGCTAGTAGGGCAAATTCATCTCCAAATGTGGCCAAAGTCTTAGACGAAATCAGTAACAATTATTTTCATTGTATCGGTTCTTTTGTACACTTTGGCATAGCAGAGCGTATTAAAGCATGACTTTAACATCCTCAAACCACTCTCTAGAAATATTATGACATGGCTACCTTGTACGCTGAATCATTACCTTATGTTTTAAACTCAGTATTGACATTTTTTGCCAAGCAAACTTTTCTGACTTGCTGTGTAAACGTTCTTGTCTCTCTAGGTTTGATCTGTTTTTATGCCATCCATCATTCACAAAAGGTCTTTCCTTTTTCTCACAGTCTGACAGCAATGCGAGCTTCCTCCGCGCTGCCAGAGCTGGGAACCTGGACAAAGTGGTGGAGTATCTGAAGGGGGGCATCGACATCAATACCTGCAATCAGGTGAGAGCATGCGGCTGGCTCAGTGTTACCCAAGGAAGAAGCTCTCATCGTCTTTGGGGGCAGCTCCAGAGTCCAAGAATAGTTGTTCTTCTTTATTGACTATATAAAAGTGATTCAGACTTAAAGTTCATTTTTATTCCCTTACCAACGTTTGAAGTCTCAGCCATTGCCATTTGGAGTTACTGTTGTTGGCAAAGTAGATAGATTAAAAATAATAGTGTCCATGTTGTATGAAATGATCTGGAATGTTCACCAAGAATGACATGTTACTTCTCATTTACCGTCAACTAGTTACCTAGACTCCGGCTTCTTTTCTTGTTTGTGATGTGCCTTTTACTCGTGGGTGACTGATTGTTGCAATGTGAGATAGATAAGTAAGAGGATAAAATCAAATTAATTTCTCCGTTTTGATTTGTTTTTAAATAAACGTTTAGAATGAGAAGAGAATGCTGGTTTAAATGTAGTGTTTGTATTATTCATCCTTCACATTCATTCTGTAAGGACTTAGAAAATATTATACATTCTTTTTTTTTTTAAGTTTTATTTATTTATTTATACAAGCACTGGGTACAGTCAGAAGCGCGGGAGGGTGAGAGGACTCACCAGAGCCAGAGCGGGGAGCAGAGCAGGCAGACTGATGAAGTACACTGCTGAGGGGAGCAGTGGGCGGCAGGAGAGGCCTGCTCGCCATTTGGGACCCTTACCCAGCGGCCGGGGATCGAACCGGCGCCGCAGAGGCTGCGTGCAGCCCCGCAACCCAGCGCTCAATTGCTGCACCACCGGGAAACCCAATATTATACATTCTTTTGGATATAATGTGGTCCCAAGGATGTGGAGATTTTTGTGCAGCTTTTGACTAAGAATTTTATCCCATTAATTAAAGTGGCTACTGGATTGTAGTATTCACTGTAGTGTGCTAAATGTTAGTTTTGAGTGTATGTGTGTGTGTGTATGAGGTGGGGGGGGTCTTGCCAACTAAGAACTAAATAATCGTGGCATATTTTAAATTGACTGGATTATTTCCTTGTGGGATTTGAGGCTGTCTGTAGACTCCCTGTTTCTATCCTGGCATGTGTTGAGCCCAGTTATGTCCAATCTACAGTCCCCTGAATTTAGCAGATGTTTCAAATACAGCTTCGGAAAATTTGACCCTGATATTTTGTCCTGCACTTTTCTCAAATTTCCACCCGCTGATATTCTCACCCATAGGTCACTTGCACCTTCCCCTGCACCCAGAACAGACCTGTTCTTCTGTCCTATCCTCTACATCCACATTTGCATTCCCTCTTACCACTTCACGCTGGCTTACCAGGGTTGCCACAGCAACTTTCTTACACAGTTTCTGTCTCAGTCTTGTCCACTCCGCTCTCTCTCTGCATGACGCCTTGTCTTTCTAAATTAAAGTCTCATTATGGCACTCCCCCCACCGAAGACAAGAAAAGCTTCCTGTGGCTCCCAGTGCCTTCACTGGTGACTCGTTTGTATCAGAACCTCCTGGAGACTCATGCAAAGGGTGTAGAATTCCCCTGGCCCTCCTGAAAGTCACCATCCTAACTGCATGACCAGTAATACATTGTGCTGTCCTTTAGAGGAGTGCAACTCTTGGCATCAAAAAATGTTGAGAGCTGCTTGCTGTTGGGAAAGACAGTCTCCTACATGCTGAGCTTTTCTGCATATTCTTTGGGGCATGACAAGAATGCAAGACCCTGATTGCTGTGATCTTGGGGTGGTGCTATTGTGTGCTACCATGAGAGGTTAGGTGACAGCTGCCCCAGACAGAAGATAGACTTGTTTCTGTTTATGAGAGAAGCTGTGAACCCTCCAAGTCAAGGGTCAGGGTGCTTCCTTTTTTTTTTTTTTAAAGATTTATTTATTTATGCATACAAGAGCTGGGGCACAGGCCAGAGGTGCAGAAGTGTGAGAGGATCCATCAGAGCCAGAGTGGGGAACAGAACAGACAGAATGACTGAAATACACTGCTGAGGGGAGAGTGGGCAAGACAGGAGAGTCTGCTGTGCCATGTGGGTATCTTCCTGGCCAGCTGGGGAGGTTGCAGATTGCTTCATAGTGTGGTGCTTAACCCCTTGCGCCACCAGGGAGGCACTCAGGGTGCTTCTTTAACAAAACCCACTGCATGTACAGATGTCTACCACTGCCCTTTGCTTCACTCCTCTGGGCTTGGGAGGTGGGCATAGGAAACTGGCACACTTGATCATCACTGTTTTTGCTGTGAGTTACAAAGTCCTTTGTCTCTGACCCAGGAGACTTGTATCTTCTACCAGAATAGGTAAGCGAGAATCCCATGTATTACATAGTCCTTGACACAGGCCTATGGAGTATGGCCAAATTCCTTTATCCTAATACACAGGAGCTTTTTATTCTGCACCTGCATTCTTTATCCATCTTAGGTTCCATTATGAATCTTTTTATCTGATGTGTTTTTGGTGCTCTCTTGAACATATAATTTGGATGTAAGTGAGGAAACACTCCCAAATTTCCATATGCGTATGTGAACCTTTTCCACAATACCTGCAAGATTAAATATAATATATAATTTTAGGTTTTTTAAAGTACAAGAAATACATTTCTTTCCCAAATTTTAATATCAGTTCATTATCTTTGTAAATTTGCAATATTCTAAGAAACAAGCAAGGAAACTATTCATTCATTTAGGTAAAGTTATAATAATGTCAAGAAAGGAATTCAAGGAAAATGACATTAATTCAGTCAAACCATGACCATTTCACTTGAAAGTGTAACAAATATGTCAACTTATGAAAGATCTTAGCATGTTTGTCTTTTTAGAAGAATCTCTTACTGGCAATTACTCAATTCTTAGCAACTTTAAAGATAGCATAGCTACTTGAGAAAACTTGAGTAGCCTAATAGATTTGTTCTTGTAGTGGCCAACTACTTGCTAACACATCACCACTGAAAAGAAGAGCACTAATTTCTGTGAGAAGGCAACTGAATATCATGAAACCATACAGGTGGCCGCCTTGGTGGCCTGGGGGTTAAAGTCTCAGAGCTATCACAGTGCTGACCTGAGTTCGATCCCCAGCCAGGAAGCTGACTCACATGGCACAGCAGACCTCTCCTGTCTCGCCTGCTGCTCCCCTCAGCAGTGTATTTTAGACAATCTGCCTGTTCTGCTCCCCACTCTGTCTCTGGGGAATCCTCTCACCCTCCGCATCTCTGTTTTACACCCCACTTCTTTTATACAATAATAAATCAAAAAACAAAACAAATAAGTTAAATAAAACAGAACTAGACCCCAAAAGCTCACCTTTAAGTTCTATCTCCACTGTCATCAAGTCATTTTGATTCGGAAACTCACTTTTTTCTAGTCTCTGCAATAGGATAATAACAACACATTTGAGGCTGATGTCACAGGATGAAATGTAAATTAAATTATGGCATATGAAAGGACTTTCTAAGGCACACGAGTACTACTAGCAATTACTATATATAACTCACTAAGAATCAGAACAATTAACGTGGTCTGCACACAAAATAGGAGATTGATTCTCCTCAATCACCTGAACTTGTTAGGTATAAAGTAAGCGTTTGGTATTGGTTCTTTATTATTATAATCAGGTATGTACATTAAATAGAAATTAAGCGAATGTGACTACTGACTACTGTCAACTAATTAGCTTCTGTGTCTGAAGCTTAATGCCCAGGCTTTCTATGTGACATTTCTTTCATCAGCAGAGACAAAATATTCTGAGATAGGCATTTGCCTGAGTTTGCAAATGCAGAAACTGCACCCACAGTGGCAAAGTGATGTTTCTTCTGGGATCACACACATCTCTGTGTCTCCCAGATCCAAGTGTTATCTCAGGAAGTCTCCCTGAGATGCTTGGCTGCCCTTTGAAGTGTATATAGTGGAATCCTTTATATGCAAGCTCAAATCTTATCTTTACTCATCCTTAGATTAGCATGAGAAAGAGTGCCACCACCAGAATTACAATGAAAACCCAAAATATAGAACAGGAAGTAATTTCTGAACACCCAGGAGAGAGAGCTGTTCAGCCCAAGTATTGCTATTTCTAAACACATCCAAGTTCAAAGCTAATATGGCATATGACAGAGAGAAGAAAAAGTATCCTCTATTTTGCTTGTAAGCCTGAGTTTCTAGGGAGCATTATGACATGCAACACAGAAACCAGGACTGGCTGTTCCCTGTTATATTTCTCAATGAAAGGCAATCTGGCTTCTCCAGCTTTCCAAAAATACAGTGTGTGTTGGCGTGCTAAGATTCCTTAAAATGAAATTTGGACGAAAAAATTTTTCTTTGTAAAATTGGTCTCATAACCACCAAGAGAATTTTGAAACTGAATCCAAAAATATCATTTGGCTTTTAATCATTTAAAGGATATGGGGGAAAAAAATCATACATTTGGCCCATGACAATATTCTTTTTTTAAAAAAGAAACCTTTGTTTTCAGTTTTCTTTCCCGCATCGTTATAAATCTGCTAGCTTTTCTTTAAAAAATGAAACTAGTAATTTATTTATCTTATCATATTTTGTAGGTTCAGAAAACAGAATAAATATTGGCATTTGTTCCCTGTTTTTAAAACTCAAATATCCTTGTGCTCCTCTTACTTATTCATACATTATTCATAATTTAATAATGTTACAGACAAGGTTAACATCCAGGCACTAAAAGTAGACTGTATAATCTTTTCATAAAAAATTTGTAGTCAACAAAAACCTCAGAAGGTTCAGATGCTTTCACCATACATATAATTCATTCCATTACAATGTCTTCAAAATGAAGGGTTTCACTTGCTATTTACGACCCTGAAGTTGAACATTTCATCACCTGTCCTGATTTTTGGGTTTGACCTTTTAACACTAAGGGGTAAAGGTGGGAAGTTATTAGTTAGGTCCTGTATCTTTTCTCAAAAACAGAAGGCAAGGTCAGGTTCTATTTTCAACATAATATTAACGTTCCTAAAATATCAGGATTTTAGCAACACAAAGGTACACCCAG